GTACGATTATCCAGCTGCCTGCGGCACCCCCCCGCTGAAGTGCGCACGTCGAACAAGAAACTGGCCTGCGAGCAGGTGCCCCTAGAGAAGTGTCTTCTCCCCGATGACCCTGGGGGCCTACAGAAGCTCTGGGGTCTGGGGCACCTCAGGACCCCCAAAGATCCGCGAAGGGTGTGCCCCAACATGTCTCATAGCAATAGGTCTTATCGTATGTGTCTGCCGCAGGGTCGGACGAAACTGCTGCAAGGCCGCACATCGTGGCCCAAGACACTTGCGCGGACTTGCAGGAGGCGGAGGAGAAGGAGGAGGAGGAGGAGGAGAGGAGGTGGAGAAGGAGGAGGAGGAGGAGGAGGAGGAGGAGGAGGAGGAAGAGGAGGGAAGGGGGGCGTCCGGGAACTGCTGCAGGCAGCCAGTTCCAGCCCCGCCACCAGGTGTTTTCCTCCAAACACGGGCGCCTTTGGGCGCATCCGCACGGCTCTGAGCGCTGTGAGCTATCGGCTTCCTGCCGTCGATGAATAGGGCGATTGGGGTCAGTACTTCCCCTCCCCTGAGGCTATCCTATCCCGCCCCTTACGTTGCCACTTGGCTTTCGAGTCATAACTTGGCTTTCCGGCTGCCGTTCAGGACGGTCCGGGCATCCCTGGAAGGCGCTCGGCGAGGCGCGATTGTTGGGAAGCATCCCGAGGCCCGACTGACAAGGGTTTGGATTGACCTGGGTCAGTGGTTCCCCGAAACGTTGCCCCTCCGATGAGCAAAGTCTGAGGTGACAGATCGGACGTCTGACAGCTGAACTTTTCCTCAGCTGTGAAAAAGCTTGCTAGCATTTTTGTTTGACAACCTGGTCAGCAGGGCTCGAGCGCACGTGTTTTGAACACCCTCTGCAGATCGAAAGGCTCGGCTCACACAGTGTGAGGCCGACCGGATTCACGAGCACAAGCTTTCACGATAAAAGTTGTTTAAGCCGTCGCGGCTTGAGCTGCCCGGGGAATCCCCTGGGCCCTGCCTGGCAGAGCCTCGGCAGGGCCGCGCGGGGGTGCGGTGCTGTATAGGCTTGGCGCGGCCGTGGCGTTGCGTGGCTGCTGCGCTGTCTATGAGGGGACTCTCGGAAACACATCACATTACTCGGCGGTCGTTGAAAGTTTGTATTTTTGGATTCCCAGATCCCAAACTATTTCAAGCGCCTCCCTACTTCAAGAATCGATATGCTTGTGCGGTGTTTCGTTGTTCTCTGGTCTGGGAGGGCCTGAACCTAAACTATTGTATCCGCCTTCCGACTTTATGTTTTCATCTGCTTCTTCCGACCGACGTGCATGGGCTTGTTGGGTCTGGGAAGTTGGCAGTGTTTATCATCGGGGTCTCACAGAGGGCTCCGACCTGCGGTCGGGCACTGCTGGGGCTGCCGCAGCGCTGCGGCCATTATGCTGCCACAGGGGACGCACAAAAAGGATCGAGAGTGGCTCATCCGGCCGCGGCCTTTGCAAACCTGGGCGCGCCCCGATGTGCTGGAGCTGCTGCAGCCGGCGCTCAGACCCAGCGCATCTGGAGGAGGAGAAGGAGGCGGAGGCGGAGGAGGACGAGGAGGAGGAGGAGGAGGAGGAGGAGGAGGAGGAGGAGGAGGAGGAGGAGGAGGAGGAGGCAGAAGAGGAGGAAGAGGAGGAGGAACCGAGGCGGAGAAGGTTCTGGGAGCTTCGAGGTTCGAGGTCTTCGGGGCGTCTTCTCGTCGGCCCTCGGCGCTGCTCCAGCCTCGGGAGGCCTTTCGGCGGTTGCGCCTCGTCGAGAGTGCTCCAGGGGTACCCGAATCGTCCCGAACGGAGGAGGCAGGAGGGAGGAGGAGGAGGAGGAGGAGGAGGAGGAGGGGGAGGAGACGGAGGAGACGGAGGAGACGGAGGAGGACGAGGACGAGGAGGAGGAGGAGGAGGAGGAGGAGGAGGAGAGAGGAGGAGGGTGGAGGGTGGAGGGTGAGGAGGAGGAGGAGAGGAGGAGGAGGAGGAGGAGGAGGAGGAGGAGGGTGAGGAGGAGGAGGAGGAGGAGGAGGCCCGTAGCCATTTTGGCTCAAGTCCGTAGCGTTTCTCTGGCTCTGGACCTGGCCTCACTGGCGAGGGGGAATTTGCGGCCCCCACTGTCTACACGCACTGCCCCGCGCAGGCTCAGTTTTGTGAGCTCCTGTTGGAGCACCTTTGCTGGCTCAAGCTTTCATGGGAGGTACCAGCCGTGGCGGTGGCGATGTCTGGTGCTGTCCCAAAAAGAAGTGCGGTTTCAAAACCAACTTCCCGTTCAAGAAGTATTGCTACAAGTGTGGTGCTGAGCGTCCTCCTATGCCTGCTGCTCGCCCAGTTCCGCCCCCGCAAGGGGACTGGGCTCATGGGCCGCCGCGGCAGAAGGATGCCAAGCCCAAGGTCCCGCTGCTCGACGCCTCTCAGCTCTCCGTGTTCGTCAAGGTGTCCGATGCTGATTTCGAGACCTCCAAGTCGCTCCTGGGCCCTTCCCAGCGTGCCAGGGTCTTGGCTCAGCGGGCTTTGGCGGCGGGCGACCCCAAGGCGGTCGCCAAGCACGCCCAGGTGGCCTATGACGAGGCCAAGCGCGAGGCGTCGCAGGTGGAGCAGAAGGTTGACAAGCTCGAGGTTCACGTGCAGGAGAAGTTTTTGGAGCTCGTGGCGCTCAAGGCCAAGCTCGAGCAGGTGCAGGCGCACGAGCTCGCGTGTGCGGCCAAGGCCACTGCGGCCGGGGCCGCTGCCAGCGGTGGTCCTGTGCGGGCTCGGCCTCCTGGCGGCGGTGTCACCGAAGTTCAGCCTGATGATCCTGCCTTCGCGTTGTTGCTGCAGTTCGAGGCCATGGACAAAGGGCTTGCGAGCTCGCTGCGTTCTCTTCTTGCTACTCGCGATGGCATGCTGCGCCCTGCCGACGACGGCAGCGAGGAGGCCGCGAGCGAGAGTGACGACGGCATGCGCGACGCTCCTGTCTCTGAGCCGCAGTTCCTTGACGTTGCCGCCGCTGCCACAGCCGTATTTGGAGGAGACGCGCTCGGAGCGGCAGGGTCGCCCTTTGCTCCAGGCGCTGTGCCCGCCACCCTTGTGCCGTCTGGAAGGGGGGCGGCGGAGGGGGGTGTTGGGAGCAGCGACTCGGCACAAGGAGCGGCTGGCGGCCAGCGAGCTGCCTCTCATTTCTCATCTTTTTTTTGCAGCGTCTCACCACCGACGAGGGATGGGACAAGTTCTTGCAGTCCAAGGGCTTGTCTCGCAAGCAGTGTGACAACATCGTCGGTGGGCTCAACGACGCGGCGCAGAAGAAGTTCAAGTGCACCCCGTTCGACGACCCGATGGGTACCTCTCCCGCTGCGGCCGCTCGGCCGACTGTTTAGCAGGAAGGCGAAGAAGACTTGGTCGATCATCACCGCCAGCGTCGGCGGGCAGGTCGGCCTCGACGCGTACCTGTCGGAGTCCATTTACAGTGATGTCCTTTCGATGCAGGAGTCCCGCATGTTGCCCGCCGCCTCTCAGGCTCTTGAGTCCAAGATGCGTGCTGCTGGTTGGTCGGCTTCTGCTACGGCTGCGCTTCCCTCTGCTGCCAATCCTTCAGGCGGTCTGGTCACGGCATCAGTTGCGCGTGTTGGGGTAGCGCCGCTCGAGAACTTCGACAGCCAGGTTGTTGCCGCTCGTGCTGCGGCTTTGCATGTGGGTGGCATGCTGCGCGGTGGCTTCCTCGTCGTCAACTTGTACCTGGTGCATTCTGTGGGCATCGACGAGCAAAATTGGGCGATCCTCTCGCGTGTGGGAGCCAGGCTCAAGGCTGCTGGCATGCCCTTCATCGTCGGTGGCGATTGGAATTGCACCCCTACCGACTTAGTCAAGACGTCGTGGGTCGACGCTCTCGACGCCGTCATCGCGGCGCCTACGGAGGGCACGTGCAGGCCCGCCATGCGCTGCATCGACTTCTCCGTGGTCTCGCGCCAGATTGCAGGTCATGCTCGGGCTGAAGTCGGCCAAAACGTCCCCATCTCTCCTCACCTCCCTGTTCGGCTCGTCTTCCCCTCGGTCGAGCCCCTCTGTCGTGTTCGGTTCGTTCAGGTCCCTAAGAGGTTCCCCGCGGAGTTGCCCATTGGTTGTCTTGGGCCCCCCTCCTGAGGTTGACCCCTGGGACCACGTCGGGGAGCTCTGTTCGGATCCTGATCTCCTGATCCAGGATAAGTGGGACGCTTTTCTCAGGGCTGCTGAAGCCCAGTGGCTTTATCTGTTTCAGATTTCTGGGGGCCAGTGTGCCGAGTATGTGGGGAGGGACAAGCCCCTTCAGGTCAGGTGGAAAACCCCGTCGGCCCCCAACCCTCCTCGGTTCCCTAAGTTGCCCCCTCTTGCTTGCTGGTGGCGCAAGGTTCAGAATGTGCTAGCCGATCTCAGTAGGTCGCCTGCTGGCGCCCATAGGTCGCAGCTTGTCGCAGCTGCTGGGCGCCTCTCTCGCTTTCACTGCCTGCCAGAGACGGCCGAGATCGCCGCCGCGTGGACGGCGATGCTGAGGCAGGTTTTGTTCCTCCCGCCAGAGTCGGCGCGGTGCCTCGCCGACCTTGCGAGCCGCGAGGCGACGCGGCTTCAGCAGTCCTGCGCTCAGGCCAGGGAACGTGAATGGGGGAGCTGGGTTGACAAGCATTCTTCTGGGGGTATGTCCGCTCTGTACAAGTTTTCGGCCCTCCCCACTCCCTTTCAGCCTGCCTCCCTCTGTCATGGCATTCTTCGGCCCTGCACTTCGCTCGAGTCGATCGAAACTCTCGAAGACGAGTGGAAGCGTTGGTGGCAAGTTGGGGTTGAGCACCAGCCTCTCCATTGGCCTGAGCTTGGGGGCCCCCCTCCGCGGCCCACGGTGGCCGAGCTCGTGCGAGCTCTCAAGTCTTTCAAGCCCTCGTCGGGCACGGGGTTCGATCAGATCTCCCCTCGCTCTCTTCTGCTGTTGCCGCCTGCCGCTCTCGAGGCTCTGCGCGACATTGTGATGTGACCATATTGAGCATAAGCGTG